TTCCCGATCGATCCAGAACTTAAACTGGAGAGAATGAGACTCCAAATCGAGCCATACACCTTACAAATTGTACTTTGAAATATTTGAAACTCTTCAAGAGGCCAGGGACCACATCGGCTATGAGCTTTCCCGCCTGTCCCTTCCCCCTCAAATCATGCCTGTGGATTAAAGAATCCATGTCCTTAATTGTCAATGTCCGTTTCTTCCCTCATTGTCTTAGTAAGATATTGCAATTAATGTAGGAACATGCCCATTTCATATTGTGGTCTCACCCATCATATACATACATGATATGCTTATCTGCACTCAAGTGCCACTTATTGACAGTGCAAATTTTAAAATTTTGCAACGTTCAAATTGCTCAATATTTGCATAGTCCCTAAGTCGTATTCTATATCACATTCAGCATCCAAATGGTATTTTTCGTAATGGTTCACCTGGAAATCACTTTTCTCCGCGAGGAGAAGAAATTCATTCCAACCAATGTTTTCGTAAAAAAGTAATCCACTCAAAAAGCTTTACGCTCTCTGTATTCGGCCCCACTCCTTGCATTTCAGCCAACTTTCAAGAAGCGAGAGATATAGACAACATGACATTGAAATTTCGTCGAGGAAGGAACGAGTAAACATGGTCCATGCATTAAAGTATTTTTCTGTGAGATCCCAGAGATACGACTGATGTATTATTTGGGGGACTGCATCCCCTCATTTTGCATGCGTATCCATTATTTACTTTTACCGTGGGCAAGTCAATAACAAATATGCATTTATTTACTCATCTTGCGTTTAAATTTCTACTTATTGATGGTGCATCTCTTCTGCAAGGTTTGTTCAATGAAGCTTATGCATTACTTGTAATTGATCCAACCATGGAAGCCATTTCGCTTTTGACAGCATTGTGGAGTTGGCCAGCATCAGAAGACTATCAACGGTGCCAGCAAAACGCAGCGTCAATGACCTGTGTTTCCTCACATGAATGCCCACATTTAGCACCATACGATGAGAAAAGGGGTTCTTGAATTAAATTTTTTCTGTCTAACTTTGGCTTGTTTCCTTGGAGATTTAATACAGTGCTGCCACATGATATCTATAGTTCGCTGGGTTTATTTTTCAATCGGCCTTGGTATTGAATGCAAATTTGTAACGATACGGGAAAATCAATACGACCCCAAACTCACATGTAGCGAGCGTCAATATATTGGAAAGCAAGGGCTTGATTGACATGTTCCTTTATCATTTTACAATTGCTAAAGATTTTAGGGCAGGATGGACAGTGGTTATTCGATTGGTTTTAGATACATTGGCAGTGATATCGAAATATTTACCGCTGACCATCGTGACAGATACCATTTTATTTGAAAATAGGAACGTGAAATATGTTTTATGCATGAATAACGCAAAGGAAAAAAATGAGTCCTTAATTAGAAAAACCATCACTTTCCCCTTAAAAACAACTGGCTTAGTAATTGCTTATGAAATGCTACATGGTCCGCTTTATTTCATTTCCCATTCATTTATCTAGTAAAGGTGGACAGTAGGCCAAAAACATATAATTCATGTAGAGTTTCTATATTGTAGTTCAGCAAATTCCTTAGCATTTGGAATTAAGCGCTCATTTTCGTTTTTGGAATTAGGTTCCATACTGTCATGTCTTGGGTCGGATCTGTTGTCTTCACCCTAAAGTGCCTGGGTTTTTTTTAAGGTACCAAACAAATCTTTGATGTTTATATTTTTTCTTGTGGTTGATGAGAAAAATAATGAAAAAGTTTCTTTCATTTTGGTTGTTCCATTGTACTGTAATACGTTACAAAGCAAAGCAGAGTGTGTCATATCTGGCACACCATACAGTTTAGGGTTAAGTGGTATGGTATCAGATCAGGCGAACTCAGAGCATGTTAATGCTAAGCTTAGTCAGTGCATGCAAGGGGGCCGAATTTGTGGCGATGACAATGCAGCGGATTCTTCAGTTGTCTCTTCTTGAATGAAATGATGAAACTGTGGAGTACAGAAATGTTGTAAGACCGAAGAGATCCGCTGGACATCCGTTAGGAACATCTAGCGGATATTCAAATTCACCGTGACCTGCAGCACATCCAGCAAGCCTCGAGAGGAAGTGCAGTCTAGAGAACATCCGTTGAGTGTACTTGAATAATACTTGCATGCTCGTGGATATTCATAGCACTCTGAATATTGGACACAGTGCGCATCAGTTCAAGTCTATAAAGTGACCGGAAACAGGAGATAAGGAACAAAAGTTAAGGGAATCCTTCCTACGGAGGTCTCGCATTTTCTGTCCAAGTTTCCCAAAGTACGATGCTCCTCATCTCGTGGACAACAGGAGCTGGAATAATTTAAATTGCCCTTGGACCCCTCTGTCATGGTGAATTCTCTTCTGTCTACGCAAAGGGCAAGAGTTCCCAGGTGTCTCCTTGAGCTGGGTTTCCTCTCTCTGCAAATGTATTAATTATATCTGTTTTCTACCTTGTCCTTGTACGTAGGAAAATATCGAGTACAGGATGATCTAGAGTACCAGTACCGATCTGCCATTCCACTGGCCCCTACATCGCAGTACTTATATTCTTCACTGCATCCTAACAATCCAACCTTGAGATAAATAATACCTGTCATTGGTTAGTCATATGTCTAGATGACAGCTGGATTGACTAGACACGGTCTCGATGGTTCGCTTGTCCGCGTCGAGTGGAGATGGGAGGAGAATATGAAGTGTAGGATGCCAGATGCAACATTTCATGCGCACGCCCAGCAAAACTTGTCAATACGGTGACGAACAGCCGCTCTCCTATTGTAAACCAACTATCTATCCGTCATCCGCGAAAACTGGATATGAAGTGGATTTCTTAGTCGCAGACTGGCACCCCGACCCAGGCGGAAAGCTGCACATGCACAGTGAGTCGTGTTTTCCAGTTGCTACGAATACTGCTGACAGACAGAATGAAAAAAGTGTATTTCTTACAGCAGCGAATTCAGCGCCACCTAGCTAACTTCGTCGAACCTTTATTTTTATTGAAGGAACTGCCAGATGTCAGTCCAGATGAAAAGCCCATGCCAGGCATCCTACGAACGTTCATAGTACACAGTCTTGCCTTCATCTCGTCCTTCGGTCGCATGTCCGCTGGAGGAAGAGTGATTTTCCCCTGAATAAGGACCCGTCTCTGGTCGGGGAGCCGTGCTCTCCACCTATCAAGCCACTTACCTCTGGCGAATACCTATGAACAAGGTTCAGGATGTAAGAATCAGAATGCGGACGTGCGACGGATATCTAATTCTACCTGGAGGGGCGAGGGGGGGAATGCGAAATTGACCGAAAGGAATTTCTCTGGAGGTCAATTGCAAGTACTCAAGGGAGGAAAGAGGCCAAAGTGCTGTGATCACAGCGATTTGGTGAAGGCTTTATGCCTCAGGACACTTTCCCCACAAAGCTTTCATGTAGATGTTCGAGAAAGCTCAAACTCAGTAATAATAGTAATAAGGCATTGCAAAAATGCAATTCTGCATGGTACTGAATCCTAAACGATAGAAAATCATTGGACCGTCGTCTTCCTAAAGATTTTGCGCCGATAGTCGAATACACCTGGCGAAATTGGTTTGCCCTCCACAAGTGGCGTGGAATGATACCACCATCTCCGAGTAACTAGAATCCGTAACACAATCGAGTTCTGGAGTTGGGGCTGCATTCACATGGTAAGGTTTTAGTTGCTTGGGTATCTTTCTCGACAAGTGTAAATACACATGCAAGTCTAAATGCTGAACCTGGTGATCAGATTTTACTGTCAAAAAACTAGAGTATTGGTATGACTCTTTCATTTTACTCAGACGTTTACTTCCTGTAAAAAAAAAGGGAAAGAAAAAGAATTTCAGGAATTTGAGAAATTTTATGCTTGAAACAATGTAGGATAATTGAACTGCAGCTGTTCCACTGGTCTCTGGCGGAGTATTCCTGGTTGTCACCAGGATTCCCATGCCAAGCATGGTCAGAATGCCTCATATGTAGTAGGGATGTCCTGACTTGAAAATTTATGGACGGAATACGAAAAATATTTCTTCTCTGTAATTTTGCATAATAGTAGCAGAGGCAATGACTTTTTCTTGGTATCTTTTTGAGAATTTAATATTCGAGGGTTCATGCTAAGTTTGAATGTCAAATTTTTTGTCCATAAATTACAGTGTGTTTTTTATTGTTGTGATATTTTAATATAAAATATTAATATTTCAAGCGATTTCCAGTGAATTGACACCTTAGTCAAGGTGTCAATTCAAGGTACGAATACTTTTAGAATTACGGAGATATTAAAATCGGAGGTTAGAATGTGACCCTACATTTTGACCACCCAGTAGCATCTAACCTATTGACACGATGGGGCTGACATTTTACACTTCCAAGTTTTCGGACATAATAACTTTGGATTTAAAAAAGTCATGAAAATCTGAGATGATAGGGGGTTAATTAGCGAATTTTTTGGTCGTTTTGTCATGGAATCACCCAATAGGAGTCCAAGTCGAGACGATAATTGAAACTGCATATGGACGACAGTGGAAATCAAAATACATTTCCCATAGACGAAGACTTTACGATATTAGTTATCTAACGAAAACAATGGTATATGTTTAAGAGTGACATTTCTTTTGCCACCCACCCCTGTGTATGTCCAATGTTAATATTCACAGGGATTAAGAAAATTTCCTTTTCACTCATCATTAACCGAACGTCGAAGATAAACAGACATGATTCCTTTGATTCAACCGAGTAGTTACTAGAAAGAGACGCATGGAGGCAGTCACAGTTGCATATATTGTTTAGTAAAATTCCTTTCCTATCTAATGTTTCAGTTGAAAGCTCATGATTCAGAGGTAAAGCTGGGACTGTCAACATACACTTATGCACAGTTCGACAGACGCCGACTCCTAACATTCCAGATAAGTTGTTATCTACCTCGGCGGAGAGGATGATTGTTTTCCATGGAGTCGTTCGTAGCTATATTTCCATCATTTGTCCTCCAAAGTAACGACAATCTTATTCCCATAAGGTGTTGAGCGTGCTCGGCCGGACAGGATCCCAAGCGCAGTACACACAGGTGGGCGTGGAATACTGAAATAAGAGCAACAGTAGCAAATTAGAAGTCATTCGTTCAGGAAAGGGGATGTTCTCATGCTTCCCATCAGAACCTCAAAAAGAGATTTAGAGGGGTTGCTTAAGGATTTGTTTCAAATACAGACGTATTATTTGCTGACAAGCATTGGGAATTTTCTTGCGGTAATCCTGTAAACTTATAGTTCATTAAATGCTTGGATGGCATTTTTATGAATGAATGCGGTTAAATTAGGGCTGCGCGATTCTTTTCTTGCGACAGCATCATATCGTCTTCCCGGAGTATCGCGATATATCGCTTTTATCGCCGGCTGGGTGGAAGAGATGGTGGCTGTAGGGGGAATGCACGAATTAGCGTTAGCGCCTTGGAAACTGTGTCCTGCCTTCTCTCCTCCTCTTCTAACCCTATTCGATTTCACCGCTGCTGGAGAGAGGCAAGAGGAGTTTCACAATATTTATCTCTCTTGGAAATTTCAGCCAGTTTTTTCTTCTTTCTCCTGTGACCATCCAGAAGATGTACTAGCGGGCTTCAACTAAGGGGAGGGGTTATGAGAGATTGTTTCCGTCTGTACTCCCTTTGTTCCATTCGATCGCCGATCATCACAATGTAATTTCTTGATACAGGAATTTATGTCTCTGTTTTTCTTGTTAATGAGCTAGTAGTTGACAGGAGCAGATTAGACCGAATTATATAACAAGAAGGGTTAATGATACAAATTTTTAATACGATGTCATCATCCGATACGAGATTTTCACTGAATGTAAGTCACAGAACCTCTCTGCAGTCACTAAGGATTAGAAACTGAGATTTTTCTTCCTAGATTTGCCTTAACGAAATTAAGTCTTAGTCTCTAAAAGAAGAAGCGATCCCAACCTGTAGATGGCCGCAATATCATGATGATATATCCATGTAGGCTTCGTCAATGATAATATCGATGTGCATATTGGCGACAATGAATTCGATTTGCATGCATCTGGACAATATCAATATCGCCACAGCTCCATATAGCGATTTTTTCACAATATGGATTTATTGCGCAGCCCTAGAGTATATTAATGTATTCTACATATTAATGCATGCTATGTATGATTCGTGCAGCTGCTTATTGCGCTTATTACCATTGTGTCCATTGCATGGAATGATCAATATTGTTGGAAGGTGCGTGCAAACGGCGATTAAATGTTGTTCATGGCATGCTTTGAACAACAGCCAAGGTTTATATCATTTCGTTGAAAACATGGAGGAACTGCCTTGAAATAATATAAACTTCTCATTACTTATTAATGGTAGTTATAGCACTCCTGGAGAGCCGTGGCACTGCAAGCGAGTACCACACCAAGGAAAACCAACCAGACTAAGGAAGTGAGCCTGAATATCAAGTTCCCAAAGTACATGAATGAAAACCTTAAAGACCGCCGTACACGATCCAATCTTCCTCGGAAACTGGAAAAAAAGGAAAATGGTTGACGAAAGCGGATCCAATCGTCGCACGCAAGCGCGGCCCGACGACGATCCCACGCCTCTCACCTTATAGCCACAGAGAACCAATAAGAAATTGACAAAGTTCCGTATCGTGGCCGTCTGTAATCAAGGATGAGGAAGATATGCTCCGGAATATCGAACTGTCGATGACCCATGCCGTTTCACGCTGAGTTCGGTTTCGCTTTTCCTCGATTTCGACATCAGGCAAAAATTCCTTTGGAGAAGGTTGTGATTCGGACAAGGTCAGCCATCTGATGCAGGAAGGTCGGAGTCGAGTGAACTAGGGAAGTCTTGAACTCGACGCCAGACGTCTAAAAGTACACCGACACTGGCAGTTTCCAATAAAGCCATGGTTTTGCCAATAGGCATGCACGCGAGAAATCGTTTCTCCAAGACGTACCGTACGTGGATTTGAAAAATGTCCAGCTTGACATTCCATTTGCTCCTTCCATGAAAAAAGCATGAATTCGCGTAATAGGAACGTTGCTGCCAATTTCTCGAAATGCGCAAGCATGTGGTTTTTTTTTATCACGTATTCGACTAAATGTGCGGCAATAGGCGCAAAGAGCCGTTGCGTTTGTTATACATCATGCACGTACTAACGCACTTCACACGCACAGTTCACATTTCAATGCCCAACAAGTAGAAGGTCGCGTCACAGAAGCACTACAATAGCAAGGTGAATGGGAAGCATCTCGCAGGCTGGAATCATCCCCTGCCCTCCATTATCAGTTGCTCTGATGAGAAGAAAGAATACACTTCAATTTCTCTCCATTCCCAGATGATACCTTCCACGCACTGGCTGACACATGCACATCAAGCCCACTTCCCCCTGAATTCGACCCTTGCACTTAGGAATTGATTATAATTAATGGCCATTTGTTAGTAATCATTACTTCATGATTTTTTAAAATACATTCTGGAGTTTGATGATTTCCTACTTCATGACAACATTGCATGCTTTTATGGTATTTATTTAAAGTCGAATAAGTTGAGAGTACATTTTCCGATTCGCAGCATGGACAGCATAGGCGCCATGATCTACAATGTTGTGATGTTGTCAATGTAATGGTGGGAAATGTGCCCATGTTGCTATGACGTCAGTCTACAATACCTTAACTTTCAACTCCATAGGTGCTCAAGTTTTCAACCAGTGAAAGCAGCAGGACATGAGGTTTCTTCACAAAATTCCCAGATTCTGCTGAAATATTGATAGTATGGCACACTTCAAATTAAATTTCAAAATGTTCGCCTGAACTTAACCATTGCAATTTTCACCATTGTCTGCCCCGCCGCCCTCTTCCCCCCAGTTGAGGGGAGAGTGGGGGGGGGGGAAGGAAACATAACGTTCTTTGCTATGTGTCTCTCATCGGCTGTATGAAGATATCACAGGCCATGCTAAACTAAATATTCATCATCTGAGAGGAAATGATTTTGCCCGACAGTCCTGAATTTTGGCAAGACTATCCAAATTGGTGGTCTTTCGGAACATTTAGTTTTTTGCGTAATCTCTTGTCATATAGGTATTCAAGATGGCTGCGGGAATCGCCAAGTGTATCGTGTATCACGAGAGAGGCGAGGATGGCCGTCATAAATATCGAATGCAAGATATCCCGCTGCCTGACAGACTTAAAAATAAGCCCGTTGCAGTGATATCCATATTTGGAAGAGCTAGAGAGGGGAAATCATTCTTGATGATAGAGAAGGCCGCTATGAACTTCCGTGTCCACTCCTCGACTAAATCTCCGACACTGTAAATCCCTTATGACGACAGAGTAGCAAGAAGGTACTCAAAGAAGCAAAATCCCCCGGCTTCTGACCGAACTAAACACAAGCAGTCCTCTGGAGGGGTTCCCTTGGAGAATGTCTGCTAGGAGGGTTACAACAGGAATTGACATATGTGATGAGATTTTCGTGAGGACGTTGCCCAGTGGAGAAGAGGTAGGGGGATCCTTGCAATTTTTCACAAAATTACGTGAGGTGATCAAAAAGTTCTAAGTCTGAGGCACTTTCAGTTGCAATGCACTATTTTACTTTCCCCAGATGACAAATGTTTTGATGGCGATAGGCAAATATTCATCATACATGTCAAACAAAGAAAGTCTCTATTCAAATTTTCACAACTACTACCAAAGAGTCTGATGAAGGGGTGTAAAAAGTGACATGTATAGGTTCTTGAAAAAACGCTCTACCGTTTTGTATGTGAGAAACAGTTTCATGAATGCAGGAAAAATTACTTTGAATACGCAATCGATATTTTGACAATTACAAGGTGCTGAAATAGTCGCCATCTTTTTTTCAGCACCCCTGCCTAAGTCGTGCAATGCCCATTTAGAGGTAAATTTAAGGTACATAGAGGTGGATCATTCAACCTCAAGTGAGGTGATTACCTGTGCAGGACCGTCTCGGAATTCTAGGAACTTTTCAACTTTAACTTTTCAAGGGACAGTTGGATCCAGCTGATACTTAGAGAGAGATTCATGAGTCTAAGAGGTTCTTTTCACTTCCGCTAGATGGTGCTGCATTCCGATAGAGGACGCTGTTGCTGACTGGGTGACCACCTCACTTGAGGTGGAATGATCCCCCTCTAAGCACCTTTATTTCACCTCTAAATTGTCATTGCACGACTTAGGCAGGGTTGCTGAAAAAAAGCTGGCAAGCATTTCAACTCCTTGTAACTGTCGGATATAGCTCGCGAACCCATTGTAATTTTTAAACTGTATTTATGAAACTTTGATTCTCCCATAGAAAACGGTAGAGCGTTTTTTTTAACCACCCTATATACTGAAATGAACTTTCTAGCTTCTAAGGAGTCGATCTCCTTATCTTTCAGCAGGTAAGTTGATAGAGTCCTACTGATACTTTTACGAAAGATCTGCTGGGAGATCGACTCCTTAGAATATAGAAAATCATTCACAGTGTTCATGTTACTTTTCTTATCCCTGTAGCAGACTCTTTGGCAGCACATTGAAAATAATTCATAGAAGCTATTTTTCACGGAATATTATAATGAAAATTGCCAATCACCATCGAATACATGTGTATTCTCGTGATGGAAGTATCAATAGAAAAGCTGTATTGCAACTGAAAGCGCCTCAGGCTCAGAACTGTTCGGTAACCCCACGTATATATGACTCATAAAAAATTGTATTGTGTGTTCCAGGTGTGCATTATTCTGATGGATACGGAAGGGACCAATGAGAATACTCTTGAACACGATTCCAAAATCTTCGCTCTAACCAGTTTGCTTAGCTGTGTGCAGATTTATAACTTGAAGGAAAAAATCCAAAAGACGGACCTTAGTTATATCCAGGTAGTAAAAGACACCATTTTAAAACCATTATTTTCAAGAACATCTCTCCGAACGTCAAGTCTAATGCCATATTTCGTTTCTTGGTTCTAGTTTTTCACCGAGGATAGCAAGGGCTTTGTTGAAAGTGGAGAAATGCATTTTCCGAAACTCTTCTTCCTTGTGAGGGATTGGAAAAACATTCATGATTACCGGTACGGGGTTGACGGAGGAAAAAAATACTTGAACGGAAAGATTGAGGTCAAACTCCATTTTTTCTCGCGGCAAATCAAGACACAGTTACCAACGAATATAATTTCCAGTTTCTCGGTACTTGCAGATTGCTCCGAGTGAAGAAAAAGAGAGAATCAGTGAAAACTTGCGCTGTTACTCGGAGACCAGCTGCTACCTGATGCCTTATCCGGGAAAGAAAGTGGATCGTGATCCAGAATTCAATGGCTCCCAGCTATCCGGTAGGATCCAATTGATTATTTCATGAATTTCAAAATTTTTTACAATAATCGGTTTAGGATGTACGTGGAATTCTGAAGCCGCACGCAACAGAAAAATTCTCTGCAAATGAATGCGTTGGCTAATTGAAATAATCGTAATATAACAACTATGTAATAATTTATTGATGTATTTAGACATGGAGGACGCGTTCAAGAAGCATCTGAAGGACCTGATTGAAAAGCTCTTTTCCCCAGAGAACTTGATTCTCAAGGAAATAGCTCGCAAGAGAGTCTCGCTCCAGGAATATTTAAACATTTTCAAGAAATACGTGAAGATTTGCAACAATCAAGACAGCATCATTCAGAATCAAAGTCTTTTTGAGGTAAGCTCTCTAGCAATAAAAGCTTGAAGCGCCAAAAAATACAAACTCGATGCTAAATTGCAATGCCTTCTTGAAAGGTCTATACAGAGGCTCGCTATAAGAACATCAGCGATGAAGAATTCCAAATGTTCGCTGATGAAATGGACAAGCTCATGATCTTTACGATCATGATCTTGTCATGATCATGAGCTTTACGATCCGAGCCTGGATGAAGAGATACGCCAATGCCGCGATCGTGCAATTCAGAATTTTGAAAGGAGGAAGATGAGTGGCAAGGATGATATTCACAACACATGTCTGGATGTTTTGAGCAAGGTTATTCTATCAAGTGCAAGCTTTACTTAGGATAAATTCATGATCTAGTAACAGTCAATTTAGTCTTGCAAATCAAATTATGGTTGTTTTCTGGTATGAACGAGGATCATACAATTAATGAAATGAAAGATATACGATTAATTAAATGTGCGAATGTACTAATCCACAGTGGGTCGTGTGGGGGGGAGGGATTAAGCAAAAACAGGGTAGTGCAGGAATAAGTCTCCAATCAATCCGTCTACGCACAGCGTCTTTTAGGGAAGTATATGAAGTTCCACTGATTAAATCCCAGAACCTTTGCAAAATCAATCTCCCAATTCCAGATTTACTCTTTCCTGCAGCCAAGTAGATCTCATACGCTGCATTCTTCGTAATGCTAGAAGTAGACATTTCTTAGACACATGAGAAGATCTTTTTAGTAACTTTGTTAGAACTTCCTAAAAATAATCTCCCCACGGTTTTATTCCTCATGCAAGTACCAAATTCAGGAAGAAGTAGAAAAGTGTCGTCATATGGCAATACAGTGGTCGAAATGACAGTTTCTGTAGTTCTATTACTTCTGTGTTTATATGTACCCTCGGTACTTCTAGTGTTAATAACCTAAACGTTGTTTTTGGAAAGTTCGCTTTTGTGAAAATCAGAGTCCTGCCACCCTCGAGGTCCTTTTTCCGATTGGGGATTTGCAGTCGTGCAAATTTTCGCTCAAGGAATTCGATTCTTACAATTGAGCTTTAAAGGCCACCGAATGAATACAAAATTCTCATGGGACAAATTTTTAGGGGAGAAAATAAGATTCTCAGTTAATTAAGCGCTTGCTTCAAGTTGTTAAATAGTCTTTCGGGCAAATAAACTCGGTAGTGACTTAGTTAGGGAGACCCAAGAAACATCCATTGATAAATACGCAGGTGGGCAGATAAATAGGCGGTCCGTATAATATTTCTGTGACGTCCGAAGGACATTCTGGCAGAAATCAAAATATGAGTGGTATAATAAATATTACGTTTCTTCTGATCTTCTCAGTAGAGAAGTTACTTTCAAGTTTTGTTCTGGGCTCTATAGGACCACTTTAAATTTAAACAAAATGCAACTTACTTCTGTGTGATCTGTTTTTCATAGAGACTCGACCAGAGGATAAATCAAGCAAGTGCCCAAAGGAGGCTTGAAGAGGATGTGAACAGAGCCCAAAGGGAGAGGAATATAGTGTGCATTGTGGCGGTTTCACTTGGATTAATTTTTGCAGCGGCACGTATCAAGTAACCTTCTGCTGCAAAGGTTGTTGTTACTCGACCTTTTGCTATTGCAAAAACTATAGTCAATGATGTTGTTGCTACTGCCACGACATCAGTTATTGAAACTGCCGGGACCACGGGAGGTGCTGCTACTGCGACTGCTACGACTACTGGCGCTGCTGCTTTTGCCACTGCTACGACTACGGGCGCTGCTCCCACTGCTACGACCACAGGGACTGCTGCTACAGCCACTGCAATGACAACTGGAGCTGTTGCTGTATAAATTGATGTCGGTGCCGCTGACGTTCTTGGAACTTTCTTATCATGCGGTCTAAAGGGCGCATAGTTGTTACAAGTGTAATCAGCAGCGTTTCACGCAAATTTTCGTGAAAATGGTTGTCCCCTGAAAATAACGTAGTCAAACAATCACTCTACTACTTCAAACATCATACTTTTTTTATGAGGTCATGCAATTACTCTTCCAATTATTTCCTAAGCTTTATATTTTTGCTCTATCCCATTAGTTCAGAGAACCATAGGTACAGTAAAACCGGACTAAGCTTACATGCTTCGGGCCAAACCCTGCTATAAGGTACTGGAGGTTATAAGCTATGGTAACGTGGCCCAAGTTGGTACTGGAGTGTTGCATGAGTTAAGGGAGTTTATTAGCTATGGCAGTAAAAACTACCAGAGGTTTTAACTGTGTGTTTCTCACAGTGATTTATCCATCTTCTATGAATACAACACGTAGCTACATTTCGTCCGATGAGGAAGGCTGTCTCATGGATCAATGGGCGCGGTAGCGCCCATTACCTCTCTTCAACCCTTTCCGGCGACAAAATTCAACTGTCGTATTTCTTTCTGAGAGCATCAGCAGAAACGAAATTAGGCATAATTCTTCCTCTCTCAACACAGAATCGCTCCAGCAAATTCGAAGCTCTATCTCCCCTGGGTTGTGGAAATCACTGAATCTCGTTTTTCAGAGATGTCAATTTCTTTCCAGTATTTTTTTCCTCTTCCCCTAGGTAAACGCTCCTGGAAAGTTTTGGAGTAAACATAACTAGCAAACTGAAGATATTGCCCTGTATGTGACAAAAAGTCTTACTTTTGCTTCCACTGTACCATTTCGCCATCTAATATACTGTATATAGACGATCGTGACTGACTGACTGACGCTAATTCTAACCATGTTCTAGAGAAGTTAGAAATCTGAAACTTGGTAAACAGGTACCTTTTGGGATGCAGAGTTCAGAAAAAAATCCGACTTTGGAGATACATGCCCTAGGGCTACACATTTTGGGGGGAGAAGTTTTTAAAGATATACAGTATATTGTGACGGATTAGGATGGCATCGAGAGGCTTCATATGATGTCACGGTTTCGGTGGTGTAGTGGTAACACACCTGACCAGCAAATCGGGAGGCTCGGGTTCAAATCCTGGAAGTTCCTTGGCTTTCTTTCGGCCTCTTATGCCTTCTAAAGCGCGTTACTCATTCCCCCTTCCTAACAATATTGTATCGTGGCGAATTGGACAGAAATGGAATGGTGAAATTTGGCACACGTATAAGTGACATGATATTATTGATTTGTGGGAGTATTCAGCTTTCATGGTGCATCCTCTCCGGGCATAGCCTATGGGTGGGTCGGCTTTTCCAAGCATGTTCTTTTAACCAGAGCAAAGGACAAACGAATAAGGTTAAAACTTTGTGGGTACGTAGTTCTCTGAGTATTGATTTCGGTATAAAAAAGGTACTTTTCGGTTAAAACGCCTCAGGGCACATATATTGCAAAAGGCGGACTTTCACAAATTTTCTGAACCAGCAAAACAGAGGGCGCAAGAAAGTTTAATCTTGGCAAAGAACAACCTGATGGACAGCTGAGTAAAGAAAAAAGTATATTTTTATTATACTGTATATAAACGATCGTGAGTAGCTGACCGACTGACATAAGTAGCTATTCGCATGCTTAGTTCAGGAAAAATTCCATTTTGATGATACATGCCATAGGGGCACACCTTTTCGGTGAACATATTTCAAATAGTTCGCTTTGTTTCAATCAAACGGCATGACTCATGTCTCATGAGAATAGCAACAGCATTGGAAGACAGGAATCCTTTCCCGAGTGGGAGTGGAATATACAGCACCCACACAAATTCCCACATTTTTCTTTAACTCCTTGTCTCACTAGTCACATTCATGCAAAGCTTCAGCTTTCCATGTTCATCAGTTTAACTGATGGAAAAATATTATTTGAAAACATCTCCCTTTGAAATTTGTGCCCCCCGAGGCATTTACTTCCAAAGTCTGAATCTTTCTGCACGTAGCATCACAATAGGTAGTAATGTACTAAGTTGCATCTTTCCACACTAGCTTAAGATAAAAATATGCCCCAACAGGGCATGGATCCAAAATCTTTACATTTTTCCTGAACTCAACCTCTTGTTAGGCATGTCCATGCCAGGTATCTGCTATCCATGTTTCTTCATTTTACTAAAGCAAAGGGATTGTTATGGAGGGGGGCATGGGTAACCCAACTTGGAAGGCATCAGACTCCGAAAGAAAGCCAAGAAACGGCGGGGAATTGAACCCAGGCCTCCTGGTTGCCAGTCAGATGTGTTACCACTATACCACCGAACCCGAGACATCCAGTCAAGCCTCTCGATGCCATCCTAATCCGTCACAATATATATCTTCAAAAACTTCTCCCAAAATGTTTACCCCCAGGGCACTTACTTCCAAAGTCGGATTTTTTCTGAACTCTGCATCCCAAAAGGTACATGTGTACTCAGTTTCAGATTTCTGACACTTCTAGAACATGGATAGAATTAGCGTCAGTCACGATCGTCTATATATATTAGAAGTAGGATTTTTCCTGTACTCAGCCATCAAACAGGTACTTGTGAGGGAATTTTAAATTTTCTGTTTCTGTTTCGTTGGATCGAAAAATAATTCACTAAAATGGAACTTTAAAAAAATTTCCCGATTTTTTTTAAAGGAAAATCTTTTTTATTCTGAAATATAGACTCAGGGAGCTCCATGCCACCCAGTTTTAGCCTTATACGTTTCCCCATTTTGCTGGCGGTAAAAAATATACTTGGAAAAGTAACCCACGCAAATGCTGTGCTCTGGGGAGGTGCTCAGCAAAAGTTCAATCTTTCCTTAAATCAACATCACGTCCGTTATCCGTGCGCCAGCTGCTATTTTTCTATTTCTATCCAATTCGCTAGGATATTTAAAATTCTTTGAAAACGTTACATCCCCAAGAAATATGCCCCAAAAATATTTTGGAAATTTGACATTTGACATTTAAGCTGAGTGCTTCACCAGTCACGTACTTGTGATATTACAGCTTTCCATGGGTCTCCGTTTGATTGAAGCAAAGAGAACTATTTGAAAATACGTTCCACGAAAAGGTGTGCCTTACGATCATCTAAATATAATATGAAAGTAGAATTGTTTCTTCACTCAGCTATTCATCATGTACTTATTTGCCAAGATTAAACTTTCTAGCACCCTCCGTTTTGCTGGATCAGAAAATTCAGGAAAATTTGCAAAATATCTTCCCTCGGGCGTTTTAACCGAAAATTACCAATTTTACCGAAATCAAACCTCAGTGAACTACATGCCCACAAAGTTTCAA